GAGGGGTGGGGATCTCACGATATGCGTCCAGGACGTGTCTGTTGGAAGAACTGATGCAGCCCAAGGTAGGGGATACGCCGAGGAAGCTCAGGGGGCTACAACAACAAGTCCAGATTTTCGCCGCAGAGGCCAGCGAGATGGAAGAAAGATACAAGCTTCACGTATCCCCCTCTCTCTCGCGTGCGGCGAACAAAATCCGCACGACGCAGGCCCAACTCCCGAACAGCTTCCCGCTGGACCCAGAGACGGAGAAGCCCCTGCCCAAAGACCTCTCTAACGTCCCCAACGAGCTCGCGCGGAACCTGGTGCGAGACCTGGAGGCCGTGTCGATGGTCGAATTGCCCTCTAGCCATCACGTTTCCATCCGGACACACGGCGCCGCCGACATGATCGTCGCCGTAGAGCTGCGGCTACGGATGGCGCAGGCAAAGCAAGCTTTGGACGAATATCGCGCCCTCCTCGCAGGGGCGAAATCGCTGAGTATCATTAACTCGCAAGGTGTCGGCCTGACGCATCGAAAGAGGATGCGGGACGCGGCGAAAGAGCCGGCAATTCGTCGCGAGGAGACCAGAATCAAATACACCGAAGCGCGCAGCAAGATGGCGCGGTTGACGAAGGAGGAGAAGGATCCCCACCTGCAGGCCTTGAAGTCCGTGGAGGCGGATACGCAGATCTTCACTTTAGACCACGCAGATCGCAAGAGAGGCGACACTCACCGTACCCCAGACTGGATATGGGGAGATCTCGAATGGCTGTTTCAAATGAACGACGATGACATTCGAAAGATACTTCCCAGTGAGTAGACACAGAAACCTTGTCGCACGACTGACGATGACAACGATCTCGCAGAGGTGAAATGTCACTGGTTCAGATGCTTTGCGGGGCAATATCGTTGGCAGGAAGAGGTCTATCTACGACCCGAAGAAATGTATCGCATGTTCGCCACATACGACTTTCACATCGCGCGATTCGACAAACTCGCCGAGGATGCGAAGAAACACCAACCGGGTGATACGACAAATAAGACGTCACCGCGACTGGGCGCCGCGACATTCTACTACAGGTACGGTTGTACTGAGCTCATTTACATCGAGATCGCACTGACCCCGGACCAGGAAGAAGCACAGCTGGGAGAAGCTCAAGGAGGCGGCGCAGGAGGAATGTCCCGAGCACCTGTACAAGGTACGCTCGTATGATTCCTGTGACTCGGACGAGGGATCTGAAAAACGAATAAGGACACCATGGGCCTCCCTGAAAAGGAGTAGGGATGGCCAAGCGAGGACAACGTCCAGTCTCCGGGCGGTGTGAGGAGCCCCAGTAAGAGACCGGATCTGCGTGTTGCGCGGTGATGCGCACGCGCGCGCGGCGCGCCTCGTGCCAAACCACCCGCTGCACCTCCACCACCTGCGCGCCGCACCGACCGTTCCATCAAAAACGCACCCGCACCACTACCCCGCCGACTCGCTCGCGCACAATCCCCCATGGGATGCGCGCGCGTCGCCGCCACCACGTTGCAGCGCACGCGCGGCCCGACATCCTCCCCGCACCTACCACCCCTCATTCCTCGCCTCCACGCATTACAACCACCTCGCCGACTCGCTCGCGCACCGTCTACGGCAATGCCCCATGGGACGCGCGCGTCGCCGCCACCGCGTTGCTGCGCGCGCGGCCCGTCCTGCATTCGCCCTCCCCCACTCCCCCGCACATACCACTCCTCTTGCATCACCTCCCCGCATTCCGTGTTTTCGGTAGTTTGTTACTGAGCCTCTCGCTTCCCCGCATCTCCCGCCCCGCCGCGCACTCGCTTCCCCCTGCGCGTGGCCGACTTCCGGTAGCGCACGGAGTCGACGGAATCGCATGTGATCCAACACCCCTTTCGTGCGTCGTCCGGCGTTAGCGTCCCATAAACGGAGTGTCTGGCCGACCATGCTATAGGGCGAACTCCGCCCGTGTCCATATGTAGATGACCCCGCGCACAAGAAAGGGGGTGTTGACGGTAATGGTAGCAGATCGAGGGCGACTGGTGTGTGTCTACTTAGCAGGAGGCGTCGGACCTCTCGGCATGGCTTCCCCCACCTGTCCCCTCTGTCTCGAAGAACATCTTGAGGGAAGAGACGACGAAGAAGCAGTAAACATGCGTGAAACAAAGAACAAGTGAGTCATGCAATAAGCGACGGGAAGACTGCTGACTGGTGAATAGGCTCCTATATTATCCCTTGATAGTCTTCGACGGGAATTTCCGTACCAGGAGGCCGCGCAGGAACGAGCACGACGACAACATCCCCCTCAGGCTCCACGGAGGGAGCTCCAACTCGGAGAGCGCAGAACTCGATGCGCATCTGCAGGAGCAGGGTTGCCCAGTAAGACTGCAGTTCTATCGACTGCGACATGTTGAGTCTAATCCCTTGTGCGTGCGCAGGACGAGACAGGGGCTGACGACCGTGAGCGTGACCGGGAAGAAAACGAAGTACTCGATGGAAACACGAAGGTTGGTCCGGCGGCAACGGGTGCCACGGAGAACGAGGCGCACTCACGACGAGTCTCACGTGCAAACCGAGACCACGGCGCGACGGGGGAAGGTCCGGAGACGCTTGGGGCGCGGTAAAGAGCGTGGACAGAGGGAGGTGAATCCGGCTTGTGAGGCTTTCCTTGCACACGGCGCACGCAGGGGCGCATAGCGTGGAGAGACCCTGACATCGACTTCAGCAATGAAATAGCGCCGCGCGTCGTCCGCCCGCGAGTCATCGCAGACATTACAGTCCTTAATACAGACGATCATGCGCACGCCACGCGGCCACGCACGCGGCGCACCTTGTACCAAACCACCCGGCTGCAACCGCACCTGCGCGCCGCACGGCGGTTCGCGCGCGATGGAGTGGGCCGCGAGCTATGGGTGTTCGCCATATCGCGGATGAAGGTGCGTGCGCTTAACAGCAGCGACGCGCAAGTTTCATGTTTTTGGGTCGAGTCTTCGTGACCCTCGCACGCACTCGCCACCTCGCGCTTGCACGACTATTCGCGCACGTGCAGAGCGCGGGAGAGGAGGAGAGGCACGCATCACGGGGCGGCAGTGCTAGAGATCATATCCTCGACGCGGCCCGCTCGAGGACGCACGGGACATCGATGTAGACAAGCGGTGTCGGGGGTACGAGTGTTGCGGGGAGGACGGTCCGCACGGCCTCCTTGGATGAACATCCTCCGGGCTAATGTGGCGCGGATATCCAGGAATATGGTTGGGCACCATCAAGGTGGCGTGTTTCGGCGGGCGGCAGGTGATAGTGGCGCGGGTCCAGATGCGAAGGGCGGGCGCGTAGTGATCACCACGGGTCACCCCCGGGTAATTTTGAGTCGACCCGGACCCGGACCCGCGAAACCCGGACCCGTGAGCTCACGGGTCAGGGTACGCTCGGGTTCGGCGCTTGAAACCACGGGTCAGTCACGTGTGACGGCTGGCGTCAGCGCTCACGCGCGCGGCCAGTCGCGACAGGTCGCGACTCGACGGACTTGCATCTCCTCCCTTCCTCCCTGTTACCGCCTCTGCTCCCCTGCTTCTCCCTTTCTTCGGTCGAGACCCCTCACGGCTTACACTCCCTCTGCCGCATGCCCAAGCACCCCACTTCGGCGACCCCATCCACGAGTCCCCATCCGAGCCCTCGCCGCCAAGCTCCTCCAGGAGCTCCTGTCCCCTGGCGCCCTCCCCGTCGACCGCACCGAGGCAGAAGAGATCCAAGTTACGCACGCAACGATGGCCGACTTTGAACAGTACCGCGCCGTGTGCGCCGCCTGCCAGCCCGCGCACGGCAACTTGGAGTGGCACGCGGCGCTCCCGGATCGCGTGAAGGTGTGGGAGGAGGACCGGCGGATGTGGAGCGACTGGCGGGCGAGCCTGAGCGCGTGGCTGGAGGAGGAGGAGGAGGACCAGTGGATGGCGTGCTTCGGCCCCTGCATCTGCGGCGTGCACCTCGGTGGCCCCAAGTTCGCGCGTTCACGCCCAGCTGTCTGTCCGGGCTCTGGGCATCTCGTGAGTTTTCTCGCCTTCCGTGTCCCCTTTCAGCACTCACGTGCATACCCGGACGGTGTAGGGCTAGACGTGGACGGGAAAACGCTCGCCGTGCACCCGTAAGTGGTCGATGCACGGCTTGAGAACCCACCGTTCGAGTCGGCTGCGGCCCACACCCTCGTTTTCGACTACCGCAAGCTGATGACACCCGACTTTGACGAGTACTGCACAGTGCGCACCGCTCTCCCGCCCGCACATGACGACTGGGGCTGGTGCGCGGCGCTCCCGGATCGTATGCAGGAGGAGGACCGGCGGACGAGCCTGAACGCGTGGCAGGAGAACGTCTGGGACCAGTGGAGGGTGTGCCGCGTGGTGCGATCCCTGGGCCCGCGGTGTGCCCCTTGGTGCTGGCCTCAAGTTCAGGTGAGTTTCCTCGCATTCTGTGTGCTCTTTCGGTGCTCACGCGCACACACGGACGGTGTAGGACCCGGACCCGGACCCGGACCCGGACGGGCACACACTCGCGTGCACTCGTACGCGTTCGATGCACGGCTGGAGAACCGCCGTTCTTGGCCGCAGCCCATGCTTTATCTACCTGCACCCTTCATGAACACGACGCGTCCCGGCAGGTCGCCTTGCAGCGCGCCCCCCTTCTGCGCAACGGAGCGCGTGCTCAAGGGTGCGTCTCCATTCACAACGAAGTGCGCGAAATCAAGGGCGTGGACCAGGACACGATGATGCAGAATGCGAACGTAACGGCCGAGCAGGGGCTGCGTGTGCTCATGCTCGCGGGGCGTGAGTGGACGGGGTCCACGGAGGGCGTTGAGTGCGCGGAGGTGGAGAAGGACACGTTCTACGGGCTCATCGGGATCTATGGCTCTTCTAGTGAGTTTCTTCTTGGTTTGTGCGCATCGTGTATGGTTACTGACCGAGGACGTTATGGCCAGAGTCTGCGGCCGCGGTGGAGGACTACAAGTGGTCGGGGATTATGGTGCACATGCTCGCGGGCGACCACCTGACTGCAATTACATGCAAGATCAGGATCATCGCCCACGGCGGCCTTGCGAAGCTTCCTAAGGGCACGGTGGTGGCCGCCTCCGAGTTTGATAGGCTCTCTGACAAGGAGGTGGACCAAATGGAGGAGCTGCCACGCGCCATTGGACGGTGCTCGCTGGAGACGAAGGTGCACCCGGTCTCGAGCGAGGACGACGAAGATCCGCTTGCGCTGTGCCGCGCTCTCCGCCTGAGCCCACGCCTCCAGCACGCGTGCGTCCGCTGCCATGATGTCTACGAGCGCGGACCATTTATTAGATGTATTATAAGTCTACGGGTCGCCACGGGTCACCAGGGGTTTACCCTGCGGGTGCACGGGTCAGCCGAGCATGACCCGGACCCGGACCCGTCGGACCCGACCCGCCAACCCGCACGGGTGGCCACCACCCGTGGTGATCACTACGGGCGCGGCACCCCCTACGGGAAAGCGCGCCCCGCAGGGGCGCGCGCGCGAAGTGGACGCACCCCTCGCAAACGCGCGCGAGGTGGACGCACCCATCGCAAACGCGCGCGAGGTGGACGCACCCCTCGCAAACGCGCGCGAGACGGCGCGCGTGAAGGGTGTGCGTACGTGCAGCGCGACAAGGGTATTGGGCTTCGCGCGCGTGCGCATGCTCGTTTGCGCCGAGAAATGAAGCAAATGAAGCGGGGGATGGACGCGCAGTACATAGGGTGCCGGTTTTCGAAAAGCAGCCCGCGGGCGCTGCCGGGGGGCGGGTTTCGAAAAGGGATGGGCTAGGGAGGCGCAGGCGTTGGGAGGCTTTTCGAAAATGTTGATGGGCCATGGCCGTTAGGGGAGGCAATGAAAGTAGGGCTTATAATCACGTAGCCCGGACAGAACAATAAGTGATGGTGGCCCAGCGGTCTACGCTGGGCGCATATTTATGCATCAAGTTCCGAGAGGTGTCTTGGATCGACTCCGACTTGAGGATTATTTTCATGAGGCGCCCAGCCGCCGGGACGCGAATGGCACGACGCCCATTTGCCGTGCCTACCCGATTTGGTAATAGCACTCTGCCAAAGGATCCCATGAATGGGGTTCATGGTATTTCTAATACGTACACTGCTACGTACGTGTCTGGCACATACACAAGTCGCTAATCCTCTCACCCCACTCCTTTGATAGTCACAAAATCACTCGTTCAGTCGTTCTTTGCCTTGTTATATCGTATCTATCGTTAATCTGGACAATCACAACGTGTTTACCAGCTAAAGAGCACACCTGCAAGCCCGCTGGCGACCTTCAGGTGCTGTCCCGCATCGGAACTGAGTGTCCTTACGGTCCTGAGAGTTTTCGAACCCGTCCGGCACCCAGTACTTAACACGGTCATTAGTAGTACTTGAAAATCGCAGTCCTTAGCTCCTGATCCACCCCTGAAACAGCTCTGAACGCCCTGGATGCACTGGGTAAGTACCGTTAATGGCTGTGCAGGTTTTTCTGATGTTCTCTTGGGTGAGCTTTGGCTCGCGCGCGATGAACATGGCTTCGTTGGCGCAAACGACGGCGAACTCGAGGACGGCGTTGGCGAGCCGCTGCTGAGGGAGTGAATCCTTCCCGGTGTCTTCGATCTTCCTGAAGGAACGCAGCATGCAATGCGCATCAATGAGGGTGTCGAGGTTCATGTTGGGAGGATGAGGAAAGGGGCGAGCACTGGCAGAGCACGATTTGCCGTGTACCCTGGCGCCATGGTCGTAATGGTCTGTGGACAGAGTGCAACCGGTCAGCGAACGGCCGACCTTGGTCGGGGGACAGGCACTGACTGATCGTCTGTGATCCAGCTCCTGCACTTGATTGGCCGTCACAGGTCGAGAGACGATCCTCCTCCTTTCACGCGGACAGGATCGATCTCAGCAGACGGAGACGATCTGCAGGCGTTGAGCCGACGATACTCGACCAGCTGCCGATCGGTTTCCGTCGGCCCGGATCAGCTTTGTCGGATTTTCCCCGGTTTCGTGATGTACTTGGCCTGTCACGCACCAAGGCCCGGTTCGAATAATTCGAAATGGTACAGTATAGACACTCCCAGGACTTCAGCCACGTCGACCCGCGACCAGCCTTGAACCGACCGCAAGTAGATCGCACCAGCCTTGAAGCTTGATATCTCGCGAGACTTAGCACCCAGGCATGATGAGATGTGAAGCAGAGACAAAAGGAATGGAGCGGAGGGCGCAAAACCGCTGCAGACGATGAGGACGATTTTTTCTATTTTTTCGATTTTCTCGTGTGCGTTCGTGCAGCTCGCGTGTGATGCGAGCTCGCGTATCATCGGAGTTGGTCGGGCAATCATTTCGGAAAAAGCTGTAAAGTTCGCCGCCTCTACGCCGTGATGACCATATGTAGACTACTCCGGGATGCTGCTTTGCGCCTCTCCGCTTCGTTCTCTTCTTTCTCTCTCGCGGACAGGTGTTTCAAACCCAGGGTGTACAGCGAGGTTCAAGGGCTCACCTCGACGTACAAAATCGACGATTAGTTCGACGACCAGCCTTGGGCCCGCCAATCCAAATTCACCCACACAACGGTATGGTTCTCTCCTTCGCCCTCGTATCCCAGGGGTTCCTCTAAAGTCTCCCAAGATGAACCATCCTACGGGCCTCCTCTCTCTCAACGATGACGTCCTCCTCGCGACTTTCTCCTTCCTGGACTCCAGGGCGGCTCTGGCCACAGCTTCCACATCCAAAAGCGCCTACAGACTCGCCATCTCTTTCGTCTTCGTCGACCTATCCTGGGGTGGAGCATTCAATGTGGATAAAGGGGATGGCTCCGAGTCGCTCGCCCTTTCGCGCTACATGTGCGCACCCGAACCTTTGACCCAAGTAGTACCCCGCGTCCAGCATCTCCGCCATTTCACCCTCGGTTTCGACACACGCAAAGTTGATCTTCCTCCTCTTCGTATCATCCTTTCTCAGGCATTCAACCTCCGCACCATTCGAATCCGGCACTTCGAGTCCTTCATCGAAGACTGCGACGGGCTTGTCATCAAAGCGATCGGTGCGATGCACCACCTCGAGCAGGCCGAATTCCAACAAAGCGGCCCTGAAACGGTCTCCGCTCTGCCAAACTTGCTGTCCAGCCAGAAGCTTACCTCTTTGACACTGGTTTTCGACCAAGACTACTACGAGGATGACTTCGTTGGCCTCCCCGCTCTCTTGTCGGGCCTTTCCTCGGCCCCGAGCATACGGACTCTGATCATCTCATTCAACCACATCGCCAATGTGCCACTGATGCGTACCTCCTACGATTTTGCTCTTGCCTCAATTCGTGACCTTACCGTCGCCTCCTACCCAGGCCCAGTCTCCGCACACATCATCACGCTCTGTCCCAACATCGACACACTGTCACTCATGCTCTATGCCGGGAATAATCCTCCCGCTACGCTCTCTATGTCTGCGGAGGATCGATGGCCCGCACGACTGAAAAAGCTCGATCTTCCGTACCGCATCACTATCGCGGAAGACACCGTCCAACGCATCAAGCCCGTCCACTGCTTATCTTTCGGCGAGGAGAAACCGATCCGCCGCGGAGAAACCTTCCTCCCGCTCCTCAAGACCTTCCGCCCCACCGCTCTCGAGCTCCATACGAAAAGCGATCTCGCAGAACCGGGCCAAATGTGGGACGATCTGCGCGGCGCGGCGCCGCAGCTCCGCTCTCTCTCGATCGTCGTGAAAGCTCAATGTGGCGAATACAACGCGCGCGGATACGTGGTACGTCCTGTCCCCATCCTCCTCCGCCCAGCTTGCCGATCCTCCCGCGAACACAGGATCCGCTCATCGCCGCCCTCCGATCGACCTCGCTCGTTCACCTTTCCCTCCGCTTCCCGCCCACCGGCCGGTACTCGGAATTTCCGAGTATGGCCGAAGTCGACAGCCTCTGTGCCGCGGAGATCCGCCGTGTCGAGACGCTCCGACAGCTGCCCGTGCGGCTCTCCGAGGACGTCCCGTCGCTCCGCCTCTTCGCACTCTCGTGGTGCAAGCCCGGAACCATGCTACTCCGCGGTCCGGGTAGGCCAGAGCTGACCGCAGAGATTGGGCGCGAGGAGGAGATCCGGCGGCGGGGGGACCGGACAGCGAGTTTCTCAACGCGCCGATGCGGAAAATAAGGGAACTCCGGGCAGAGATCGCGCGCGACAAGCGGTGGTGGTGGATCGAGGGTGAGGGGGCGGCGCGGACGCCGGTCGAGATTTGGCGGGAGGACGGGGAGCGGGCGCTGGACTTGATCAAACGCGCAGACTTCGATCCTAAGAAGGGTCTCGATGGTGATTTCTTTAGTGCTGGACTCGTTTGTGCGATCGCTGATTGGCCTTGTTCGTAGGATTTTACTCGGACAAGTGTCGCTACGAGCGGTAGGCTGGATGGAGGCTGTATTTGGTCACCATGCGTATGCGAATGGAAAAGAGACTAAAGGGAGCTTCTTGCCACCTTCACGGTTGCCTCGATAGACCGCATAATCGAGAGCCAGGTCCCACACTTCCAAGATGACGATGTAAAGCTCGATGCCGTGTACCAGAACCGGAACCGGACTGTAACCCACGACCGCGGCTTGCTAACTCGAATATCACAAGACATGTTGTTGCTTATGCGCGCCTCAGTTCGCTGCTTCAAATGATCATCGCCACTTATTACACTTGATTGTCAGCACCACTGTCACCATGCACTCCGTGCCGGTCAAATACATGCGAGACAATGGGACCCACGAATCGTCGCCCAACTCCACGTCGACCTTCCTGGACCAGGAAAACCTCAAGTGGACTTGAACCGATCAGCGAGACGGGAAGCGCACGGCGTTGCAAAGGCATTGGCAGCCTGGAGTCGGGAGAATATTTGGAAGAGAGCGTCTTCGTCGACGGTGCCTGGGGCGAACTCGGGCTGCGGAATGCAAGAGACGTGCTGAGGCCTGAGGAGTCGGTCCATAGCACGATGTGACAGAGAACGTACCGCAGCCGTCCTCCACCATGGTCCACCACCCTCCGAGCTTTCCGTAGCGTCACCAATCTCCACCCTCCCTCACCCACCACTCGTTGCAGCCCTGTGTGGCGACGCAATAGTTCCGCGGACGGGGAGTAACGGCGCAGATGTATTCAGAAAGAAACAGTGTGGATGTCCCGTGCTGTTTGCTCTTGGATAAACGAATGGCGGTGGCAAGTACGAGGA